CAGGTAAATGGAGCTCTTAACCGGTCTAGGTAATAAAAAAGCTGGAGTCAGACATAGAGGGAAACACTAAGAGATCAGAGAGAAGGAGCAAGCCACAGCCACACCCTCACCTCCTCAGCGTCTCAGCAGATGAGAAAGCAATTTCCTGTTTCTGCCCACTTCCTGTCTGTCTATACAGACCTCCAGACCTCTATGGTTAGCCAGTGGCAAGCTCCATTCTCTGACCCTCAGACAGGCTTTATTTGTATCACCAATATATTATCACACCTTCACCAACGGCTTGGAATTAATACTAGGGTGGCTTCAAGTTACCCGTGAGAGCTAGCATTTTCCAAAACAAGGAATGCCCTGCTATTGGTTAGCAGGTTCTGCCCAGGAGAGCTCAGGCTTCCTGGATCTCAGTTAGCCCATCACAACACATCCTGTCTCCGTGGGCTCTGGAAGGCAGATCCTTCCAAGGCCACCTCCTAATTAAACCACACAGATGCCTGACAGTGACCTCGTAGGAGGTGCAGGGAAGTGACTGATGGCCCCCGGGGGGAGCCTTTTGTAGATTGGCTGGTCTGTGGATAACCGAGGTATAGGTGACTTTCCTCTGCATGGAGTTCATTGGCACACAGGCTCCTTGGAAGGCAGATGATGTGGGTTTAGTGCAGGAGTCCAGAAGCCCTTCCGGACCAGAGCTGCAATAATCCTAAACTTTCTCTCTTTAAGGAAAAAAAAAGGAAAAAGAAGAAGCCAAGATCAGATCTGTCTGAAGCGATAGCTCATTTTCTTCTAAAGTTCAGTGGTCTGCACCCTGCCATTCTCCCAGGTACAAAAGATGCTTTCTGTGTTTCAAAGTCACCTGCGCCTCAGCAGGCCAGAGCCATGGCTGGCGAGCATTGATAACGCGTGGCGTGCCGGGATACCCTGAAAGGAGCGTGAGCTGGTTAAATATGTTGCCAGAGATTACACCGGGTCTGACAATGCATCTAAGAGGCTTATGTGTCTCATTCACCTCTCACAAGCCATCCACTCGCAGGACTCAGATAAGACACCCACTGGTGTCACGTCCGCATGCCACCATCCTCCCCAGCCCCCTGGGAGGAGACGGACAATTCTAAGGCAGAAGGTCCAAACTTGTTTTGGCTGTTGAAGATTTCAACCGGTGTTTGTCTGACCTGCAGTGAGTCTGGAAGCTCCCAGCTCATCCTCAGGGAAGTCTGTCCTTGTCACAGGCCACATAGGTGGAGCTGTTAGTGATCAGGTCAAACCCTGGAATGGACTTGAGGATTCTTTTCAGGGTGACTCATGAAGCATAACACTTATCTCTAGGAAAAGAGACCCAGAGCAAGAAGCAACCCATCGGCAGAGGTCGTGAGTGTGTGTCTAGCAGCCTGCCCACATCTGCATGCTCTCTTTCCATCTCTTCCTATTGAGGTCAAGGTCTTTCCCTCCCTGCCCCTAGCTATGGAGAGTGTATAGCAATTAAGCTTCACTGTCAACTTGACCAGATCTCGGATGAGCTAGAAGACAGACTTCAGGCGTGCCTGTAAAGTTCCTAGACGAGTTGGTTGAAACGGGCGTGGGAGACACCTCTCCACGGGCCCGGGTCCTGGGCAGAATAAAAAGGAGAAGGCAAGCTCTACACCAGCCTCTCTCCCTCTGCCTCTAGTGGATGCAGGGTGAGCCTCTGCCTCATGCTCCTGATGCCATGGCTTCCCCACCATGAGAGACTACAATGCTGAGGTGTAAGCCAAAATGCACCCTACCTCGCTTCCTCCCTCCCTTCCTCCCTTCTTCCCTCCCTGCCTTATGTTTTGGGGTTTTTGTTGTTGTTTCTTTGTTTTTTGTCTGGGGTATTTTATCTACTGAAAAGCAGACAGTGAAGAAAGCAGAGGGCAGTACAAACCGCGGTGCCATTCTCTCCTAGGTGCCTGGGGTATTTCTAATTTCCTCCTTCTTAATTGTTGATAGGTAGACTTTAAAAGTATTCTTTCCATAGTTCACTTCATAACACATATGCTCTTAATGCATAAGATATATGCAACAGTATGTAAAAAGGAATTTTAATTAGTGGCTGAAGAGGGGGGATCACCAGGGCTTGATGGGTACAGACAGAGGAGCTAATGTAGTTCTGGGAGGACATCTTTCCCAGAGACCCAGCCCAGAGTCACAATGGAGTTCAGGTTAAGGTTTAATGAAGTTCACTCTAGGTGTGTCATTTCAAAGATCATTGTAATTGCATGTCTTCGTGTGAACCATGCTCAGGGAAAATAATGGCTTTTACAGCAGAGCGAGTGGACAAATGACAACCTTGTGGACAGTCCTTTAGAAGCTCCGTATGAACTGAGTTTGTACAATAAAAACTAAAAAGAAAAAAAAAAAGAGCCGCCGCCCCCAACGCCTGGATCCCAGGCAGGTCTGTGCTTCAAGGAATGAGATCTTCAAAATGCTTCTCTGTGCAGCCCTGTCCTCCAACCTTCCTTTACCTGACCTCAGAGCATCCCTGTCCTGCATCCCTGTCCTCCAACCTTCCTTTACCTGCTGTGTGAAATCCAATGATGATCCGGCCCTGCCAATGAGACCTCAGAACAGCAGCACAGGCAATCATAAAACAGCAGAGGTCAGTCAAGAACAAGACAGAGGGTAGGCTTCCCATACAAGAGAGAAGAGATGACCCCAGTACCCTATGATGGCCCCTGACTTATCTGGGCATAGGTGATAAGAACATCTTGGAAGCTAACATGCTAACAATGTGTGGCCACTTTAATTTAATTTCTGTTACTATGATAAAAACCCCCACAACAGCTAACTTGGTGGAGAAATGGCTTATTTGAGATGACAATTCCAGGTTGCTGTCCTGTGGGACAGCCATAGCAGTGAGAGCCTGGGCAGCTGGTCACATCATAACCTTAGTCAGGAGCTGAGAGAGACGGCTGCATGCATGCTTGCCTGTGCTCAGTTCCATTGCATCTCTCCTCCATGGTTTGGAACCCCCTGGCTGGGGAATGGCGGCACCCACGGCAGGCTTGATCTTATCACAGGGGACGTTCTCTCACAAGGCACGCCCACATTCCAACCCAATGTAGACAATTTCTCACTGAGCCTCTCCTAGGTTATGTCAAATTGACAAAGCTAACATTGCAACCCCTGAGAACTCCCTCTGTCTCAGCTCACCCCAGTATAATTACAGGCAGCTACCTTTCTGCTCCCAGGAACAAGTCATTCACCAGCCGGTGCTGGAAGGGCGGTGCCTGAGAAACGGTACAGTTTCTGGGCCCACCCCAGAGGCTGGGGTCTTCCACTCCTCTCAAAATGGAGTCTTCCAGGACAAGGCACTGCCTGAACAAAACCCTGCTGTTTTATACAGCATCGTTGTGGCAGTTTTTCCTGTCCTGCCTAGGTCCCACCTCCACTTCAGCCCCAAATGAACACACAGACGCTATATTAATCATTAACCTGTTGGCCGATGACTAGGGCTTCTTATTAGCTAGCTCTGTCTTAGTTATTAACCCATTTCTATTCATCTAAGTATTTCCATGTGGTCTTATCTTACCAGAGAAGGGTCAGAACCTGTTACTCCTTTGGCAGACTACATGGTAACTCCTGGCGGGCTCCCTGTGCCTACCTCTCCCAGAATTCTCATTATCTACTAGTCCCGCCTGTCTTCCTGCCTTATTGGTCAACAGTGTTTTAGTCATCAACCAATAAGAGAACCACATATACAGAAGGACCACTCCCCATCACAGCACGGAGTAATTTAGAGTGGCAACAGCCTGATCCCAACAGAGCCAGGGCAATGACAGCATTGATGGCAAACCCCATGTCCACCATCGTGTTCTGGACCTGTTTTTGAGAACCTCCCACCATCGAGTCACCTAAGAGGGCTGTAGATATCTGGGGACACTGAGGCATGTAGCTGTTATGTGGAAGAAGAGGCACTACACGGGCAGGCAGTCTTGCCTCAGCACCGCCGAGGATCCCTGTCCTAAATGGAAACATACGTGATAAAAAGTGTTCCCTGTCAAAATGGGAAAACAAACACCTTCTGTCTTTGATTCAAGACATGCTCATGGAGCACCAGGGACAGGATGGCCCAGCATGGGAGCTGCAGTGGGCGGGGCTGTGGGGTGAGGGAGCTCCAGTGAGCTGTGGGGTTGAAGGTGTCTTCTTCTTGGGGCCTCTCATGGGGCCTCCCAAGCTGTTTAAGCAGAGTTCTGACATGCTGGAGACAGCTCTTGGTGGAAAGCAGGGAAATAGTGAGAGAACATTCTTCTAAGAGCTTGAAAGAGCACAGGGGAGAGGAATGGTCTGTGGGGTTTGAAGCGTAAACAAGGAAAGGCTTTAAAGTGGGAAGCAGTGGCCGGGTGTTGGTGGGGCACACCTTTAATCCCAGCACTCGAGAAGCAGAGGCAGGTGGATCTCTGTGAGTTCGAGGTCAGTCTGGTCTACAAGAGCGAGTTCCAGGACAACCTTCAAAACAATACAGAGAAACCCTGTCTCGAAAAAATAAAAAATAAGAACGTGGGAAGCAGTGAGCAGAACTCTGGGAACTTAGAGGAACCACCAGCAGGGCCTAGGGTGAGGGAAAGAACCTTCTTCTACTTTCCCTCCCGCTGAGATGATGAAAGACTCTGACCAAAACCAGCTTTGAGGAAAGACGGTTTTACCTCAGCTTACACTTTCAGGTCACAGGCCATCACTGACGGAAGTTGGAGCAGGAACTTGAAGCAGAAACCATGGAGGACGCTGCTTGCTGGCTCAGTCACAGCTCATGTTTAGCTGGCTTTCTGACATAACCCAGGGCCGCCCGACTAGGGATGGTGCTGCCCACGGTGGGCAGAACCCTCCTACTTCAGTAATCAAGACAACTTCTCAAAGACAAGAGGGCAAACACCCGCAGGGACAGAGATCCTCTTCGTATGGAGGGCACTAAGGTCGTGGCCGTCCCAGAGCCGAGAGTTCTCAGTGTCTAAGCCCTTCATCCACCTTGCGACTGAGCAATCCAGAGGAAACTCCACAACTAAACTATGAAGCACTCTCTCAGCTGCCTACACAGAAGAGAATTCTCAGCCATGACCTTGGGCAGATTTATTTCTACAAATGTGTCACGTGACTACATTTGTATTCAGTTTAAGGTGTCTGTCACATAACTGCCATACGCTATTTAAGACCTTCTTCGTGCGTGCGTGCGTGCGTGCATGTGTGAGTGTGTGTGTGTGTGTGAGTGTCTGTCACAGCGGTATAACACAGCCAGGAATCAAGGAGCTTACAACAAATGCACACCTCTGCTAACTGTCAAAAGAGCAGGTGTGAAACAACAGCTACTTAAAAAAAATCTGGCCAAGATTCAATAAAAATCTTTTACAGAGGAGCAGCTGGGATCTGAGGGAGTTGTCACTGTGTGGAGACGCTTCCATCGCTCACAGTGTGTACTGAGATTCTGATCCTGGGCTTTCTTTCCTGTAACACAAGAGTCACAGAGAATCCTCACTCACACGTATAAACATAGCACACACACAAACACACAAACTCAAATATGACCAAACACACACAAAACACAAACACACAAACTCAAATACAACCAGATATACACACACACAAACTCAAACATGACCAGATAAACACACACAAACACACAAACACAATAACCACATACAAATACACAAATGCAATATACATGCACAGACGGACAGACACACACACACACACACTAACACACACATACACAAAGCACCTTTAAAGCTCCTTACGGATAGGCTGGGAGAGGTATCATAAATTGACCGTCTTTGTGGAATTCAGTTTGGTGCTGTGTGTTAGGTATTTTTAATGCTTTTTACATTTATTCATTTATTTTGCAAGTGTGGAGACCAGAAGATAGTGCAAGGGAACTGATTCTCTCTCTTCAATTGCGTGCAACCCCAGATCAAACACAGGTCCTCAGGCTTGGCAGCAAGCTCCTTTACCTGCTGAGTCATTTTGCTGGCCCCATGACAGACAGTTTTAGAAGCAATTCCTCAAACAAGTACCTGTCCCAAGAAAGCAACAAAAGATCGGAACAGAAGTCACGGCTCCCATCTCCACGACTTCACCAGTGCAGGCACCAAACCAGGCTTAGGGTAGACAGATATGAACGGCAAATGTATGTTGAATGCATATCCAAAGATTTCCATGGGGAGATGTCCGTGACGTCAATGAGAGAAGCCTCTTGAGGGGTATTATAAATTACAGCATTGGATGTGTTGGAATATTATACAGCCACTAGCATGGCATTTGTGAAGAATATTTAATCGGAGGGGCATCCCGTGAAACCAAAGACTAGGATGTGGGTTATATTTAGGATGCCATGCACTGGAAGGGTCTTCACACGAAATCTCCAGCAGCAGGCAATGTCTTTTCGTTCCCTCCCCCTACGCTCCCTCCCTCCACAATGCTTTCCTAGTTAGAAGAGAAATGTTATTTAAACACATATGGCACTCCCTGTGGTTGTTTAAAAAGAATTAGCAATCAGCAACTAATAAAGAGATCCTTCAGAATTGGTCCGAAAGAGAATGAGACCCTTTGGTGCCTCCGAGATTAAAGAACGAGCAGGAGACACTCGGGTGGTGAGCACAGCTCACGCTGGGGAGATTGTGAGTCGTCCGGTGAGAGAGAGAAGGCCAAGCCATCCCTCAGAAGGGCTCCTTCAGTAATCTGCCTTACACTGGCCTCACTGTACAAACCGGTGAGATCTGTAACCTCATTTTAATTAGAATGTGCCTGGAGCTTAGGGTCCGTTATTTTTCTATTTAAGATACATTAGTATAGGTGAAGAAATCGGCTTATATTCTGTGTACCAAGTTCTATATTATTTTTGTGCATTTATAACTGGCCTCCAGAGCCACCCCTGTCTGCCTTCATGATTTAGCAGGGTTAATTCTCACAGATATTTATTAGGAGGGAGATGGGAGACCAGGCTGCATACTGATGTGACAATTTTCCTCCTGTCTACTCAATAGTCCTGAAGAAGGCAGCTGACCTTGCCCCAGCTTACAACTCTGGGAAGGGTGTCACGCGTTGGCATGGGGCTTGAAAACTCTCAAATCAGATGGAATCCTGTAAGATCGGGGGACAGCCTGCGACCAGTGACTGATTTTCCCATTAACTGTTGTGAACAGTGAGATTGAATCGGGGCCGCCACAGATGGGCCTCTGAGATACATGTGCTCACTCACAGTATTTGCCAGGTCCAAGTCTTAGATTAAGAGAGGGGTGAGGCTTCTGCAAAAAGGGTGGACCCCTGGGGATTCCCCTCTGTAAGCAGTTCCTGAGTCTGAGTGGGAGGAGCCCGAGAGTGGGGAGAGCCTGTGGGTGCCCTGTACACCTCCCCCTACACTCTCCCCTGCACTCCCTTCCCTGTATGCCCTCCTCCCACACTCCCTCCTCTCCCAAAACCCTCCTGCTGAAAACACCCTTCCCCTGCATACCCTCCTCAGTCACTCAAAAGCAAACCATGGAGGTTGCTTAGGCCAAACCAGACAGGGAGGTGCCCTCACGGAGGTGGCACAGCTTCCAATCATCTTCCGTCTTCCTTTGCTCCTTCTCTATGAGTCAGGGAAGAGGACAAGCATGGGCTTGCACCTCCACGGCTGCTGCACCTTCAATGCTGCTGCATTCCTGTGGCTGCTGCACCTCCTTGGCTGCTGCACCTCCGTGGTTACTGCACCTCCATGGCTGCTGCACCTCCAATGCTGCTGCATTCCTGTGACTGCTGCACCTCCAATGCTGCTGCACCTCCGTGGTTACTGCACCTCCATGGTTACTGCACCTCCGTAGCCACTGCACCTCCATGAATATAGTCCAACACTCCAGGCCAGAGACAACAGTTCACTCCTTGGCCACAGTACCTGGGTCAAAAGGTGGCCACGCAAACACAGCAGGACCGGAGACTTCAGGACTCTGGAGACTTCGCCCAGCGTTGTCCCCCCACTGGGTCAAGGATAAAAAGAACTGGAGTCCAGCAAAGCCTCTGAAAGGACTCTCTCTCCACGAGCGTGCCCAGATGCCACGTTCCTGAGCAGAGGTGAGGGGTGGCAGGGTGTTCCCATACTGTCTCACATCCACTGCGAGAGAGGCATCAGGGTGTGAGAATGAGGCCCAGCAGGGCTGAGGAAGGGAAACAGTGCCGGCCACAGGGAGCCAAGGTCTCTGGAAGCCAGGCCGGCTGGGCGTCAACTAAGAACAAGATTCAGTCTGTCTCCTGCTGACCAAGCCAGCCCTGCTTGGCTGTTCTTTGCTGCCAATGAGTTCGGACCACCATAAAGCAGTGTGCAACCTTCAAAAGCCAGAAATGTTTTTGTTTCAAGTGATTAAACTGCGTTTAGCTCCTCGGAAGAGAACCTTGTTTGAAGAATTTCTGAGAGGGAAGCGTGCGGTTGAATTTCCTTTGGATTCAGGGCCCCAGCTCTGATGAGAATCAACAGAATGTTATGCATCCGGTCGACTGGAGCCTTTTTTTTTCTCTTTCTGGAATATATTGTCCTGTTAACGCAAGAACTATTTGTGTTTGCTGCAAGTGGGATTTTCGATTAGTCTTTTGACATCCAGATCACTCAAGGCTTTTTATTATGCTCTGGATTTAGAAAGAAATATGCTTCTGACAGCAACTGGATTTGAATTCTTCTGCTTAGGTTAATAGCAAATAAAAGCCCAGACCAGTGCTTGGATCCAGAGCAGCAATCTCGGTCTCATTCAGGGGTGGGGTGGGGGCAGCTATTTGAGAGGCTGAGTTCTTCCCCAAGTGCTGTACTCAGAGTCCAGACAGCTGGATGTTGTTAGCTTTTCCAAAAGTGTTGTCTGTCCTCATTGCCATGGCCATTTGCATGCCCAGCCCAGAGTGGGACCCTCACCTGTTTGCAGGTGATGACACTCCTCCACTGAACTGAGGGGTGGCAGTGCACACCTACCTGCTCCTCAGGAAGTGGCTGTGGCAGGCCCAAGAAGTGGGACAGAGAGTCAGGAGCAAGACGCAGCAGCAGCCTCAGCCCCGGCCACTGAGGCGTGAGTCTCACCTCCACTGCCGCAGATTGCCCAGAACAGGACCCCTGAGTAGCTAGGTTCCACAGGAGTGCCTGGCGGCTCCCATGCCTCCTCCCAGGGACAGCATCGCCACCCCCATCCCTCCAGTCTCATGTTCCTGCATCTTCTGTGGAGACGTAGACGGTGTGGGTGGGAGAAATACCTGTGAGTGCGTCTCTGAGCCCAAGGGTGTTATGGGATATGAATGGGTGAGGCTGAGGCCAGCTCACCCAGTGAGCCTGTGTCCCACCCCACATCACCTGTGTCCTCCAACCCTCAGGGCATTGGCCGCCCCTTCACATACTCATATTTGTTTGCATATGGGTGCTCTGCAAACAACTCCCTCCCTTCTCGCTCTGTTCCTCCCCCTCCTCTTCCCCAAGCTAATCCAATCCTTCCATTGCCTACGGAGAGCCACAGGGTTTCCCAAGGCTCCTTCAGGGGTTCATACATACTTGGTATAAATCAGAGAAGGCATACAGCTTTTCTCATATGTCACAAGGCCAACTGTCTACTTGCTTAACACTGGGTGTCACCTGTAACCCTCTAGAAGCCATGTGATATCTTTCATCGGGCCAGAAACAGCATAGGTCTCTCTCTCTCACACAGACACGAAACGTAGGAACTCTGACTACTCACTCAGCACCAGAAGTTCTTCACGGAGTTTCCAGTCCAAAGCTTCCCAGAGTCTTGTGGGTGGTCACGCAGGTGCCGTTTTCAAACCCAGAGGCCCAGTGGCTTTGCAGCAAAGATAAATACCCGTAACTTGTAACGGAGGTACACAGACCCCAGACACACCCGGCACACCAGTCAAGTGTCTAGGCCTCAGCCGCTAACTTAACATAGCCCAGAGTCATCTGGGGGAGTCTCCTTTGAGGGACTGCCCAGATCAGATTAGCCTGTGGCTGTGTCTGTGAGAGACTGTCTTGATTGATGGTTGACATGGAAAGGTCCAGTCCACTATGGCAGGCACCATCCCTAGGCAGGTGGAGCTGGGCTTTGTTGGAAGGTTTGCTGAGCATAAACCAGAGACAGAGCTGTCCAACCGCGTTCCTCCATGTCTTCTGCCTCAGTTCTTGCCCTGACTTCCCACAGTGACAGATTGTAATCCATAAGTGTTAGACGAATAAACTCTTCCACTTTTGTCAATGAAATACACATACACACACACGCACACACACACACACACACACACTTTAACAAGGTTCCTTCCCAAGTGTTCAAGAGAAGTCTCTCTCTTCCTTTAAGGGCTTGTTGTACTAGTTTTAAAATTAACTTTTTTTATCAAGAACAACTTGGAAATAAATATCACACACCAAAATTAAAGTCCAAAGTCTAAAGAGCTCAATGGACTTGTATGCAGTTAGCATAGCCGTTCTGAAGCTGTAGAGTTTCACATCGGATTTCACACTTTCACTATTGAATATATATTTATGTATTTATTCACCACACACAAAAAAAGAGTATTATGCTATTTTTAGCAACATGCCCTGCTCCTCCCTAATGCTTCTCCACTCAGGGTGGATCAAGGTCTCCAGGGCCTCTCTCCTAATAACCCTCATTCCTGAAGGGTAATGACAGGCCAGTTCCTTTCCTAAACCAACCAATGTCCTCCGTTCTTACATCTAACATCGACACGACAACCGTCAAACTGTCCTGTACAGAGTGCCCCCCCCAGGCCTCACTCATTACCTCCAAGGCACAACCATGACGGTCATTTTCCTAAACCTGTGGTCACCTTGGGTTCCAAGAGCAAAGCTTTATAGACAGAACAGGCCTCCTTCCTAGAGAAGAGCAATTGTCTACCCAATTACCTACGATGGATTGGCTCCACCCAGAAGTGTATAACCCTGTTAGGAGCATACTGGTGCTCTTGACCAATGACGGTGATTAACGAATTAAGAACACCAAGGACCACCTTGATGAGGGGACCACACTTTGACCAGAAATGATAAATTGTGCATGCCTCTTGTCCCAATGCCTCTTCAATTTAAACCTAAAACTTGCATCAGTATCCTGAACAGGAAATCAAACTTGGGTCCCTTGTATCTGTCCTCTGCTCCACGTGTGCTGATTCAGTTGGCTTTCTCTGTTTCTCACTGTTATTTTTCTCCCTTGCTAAATTGTTGCTGGAAACTGGACTCTAGTTCTAAAACCTTGGCTATGGTGTGGGCAGCCTATATACTAAGATCCATGACGGTTCGTTTTTATGTCAACTTGACACAAGCCAGAGTTATCCGAAGAGAGAGAGAACGTCAGTTGAGAAAATGCCTCCATAATATCTGGCTGTATGGTGTTTTCTTAATTAGTGATTGATGGGGGAGGGTTCAGCCCATTGTGGGTGGTGCCATCCTTGGGCTGGTGGTCCTGGGTTCTATAAAGAAAGCAGGCTGAGCAAGCCACGATGAGCAAACCAGTAAGCAGCGCCCCTCCACGGCCTCTGCATCAGCGCCTGCCTCCAGGTTCCTGTCCTGCTTGAGTTCCTGTCCTGACTTCCTCCAGGGATGGACTACAGTGCAGAAGTGTGAGCTGAATGAACCCTTTCCTCCCCACCTTTTTTGGGGTCATGATATTTCATCATAGCTATAGAAACCCAAACTGAGACAGATTCCAAGAACAGCAAACCATGCAATCAGGCACAATATCACCTCTCAGAGGTCAAGAGCAATGGCCAGTCATATCTTTGGAAAAGATCACATTTTCCCTAGGACAAGTAGTCCAGAGGAGACAAAACTGAGGGGCAGGGGAGATGCTTTGCCTGGGAAGAAGCCCTTGGCTGCCAGAGTCCTTCACTTAGAACAAATCATAACAGCCTCCAAAACACATCCACAAATGAGTCACTAAAATCCAAAGGTGTGTTTGGTGGCAACATTCAACAGCAGTTATAGGAAGGCTGGGGTCTGCAGCTAACACACAGGCCAGCATCCCACACCTTGAGAGTGTCAGGCAGATGCTGTGTTGCCAACACTATTAGCTGCAGCCTCTTCCTGTCTCCCCCATGTGTGAACCCTGGGCCACAGAAGGCCAGTACAGCCTACCCTCCCTTCCCTACACTCATAGATAACACGTACATAAAGAGTCACCAAAACCAAGTAATTATACTGCAGTAGCTCACCTTGTTTTATTGTCTGCATTCTTTGCTTGCTGGGGATCATAGCTCTGTTATTAATTCATTAAGGACCGTAATTGCATTCCAGCAACGTGCGTGCCCTTTGTTTCATGTTTAGGTGTTGTGAATAGGAGAGTGGCATCACATGATGAGATCTGTGCTCCCTGGGGGCCCCTGAAGACAATCCAGTCCTGTCTGGGGAGGTCCAGTGGCGCCAATCCTGTGCTGTGTCCTGTTGTCTCTCTTGTGGGAGGTACCAGATGAGAGCGGAGAGCCCACAGTGCCGCTGACCCATGTGGTGAATGCGAGATGGTCTTGGCTCAGGGTCCCGGTGTGTGGGGGAGTCCATCTGTGTTCCATGTTCTCTCAGGGAAAGGAGAACCCACCCATGATGCTCCCTAGAGTCAAAGTGAGGAGTTGAGATTTGCCCTGGAGACACTGCTTAGCTCTAGGAACACTTGCTGATCTCGCTGAGGACCCGGTTGGTTCCCAGCGCCCATGATGAGTGACTCACAGCCCACTGTAACTCCACCTCCAGGGGATTTGATGCCCTTTGCTGGCCTCTGTGAGCATCAGCACATACATGCTCTCTCCCTCTCACTGTCTCTCTGTCTCTCTCTGTCTCTGTCTGTCTATCTCTCTCTCGCTGTCACACACACATACACACACACACACACACACACACACACGCCCATACACTTAGAAGTCATCTCTCTGTCTCTCTGTCTCTGTCTCTGTCTGTCTCTCTCTCTCTCTCTCACACACACACACACACACACACATGCAGACACTTAGAAGTTAAACAAGGAGAAAATCAACTTTGCATAGATGAAGGAGTTGCAGGGAAGTACAGACAAGACAATAAGCCCTACAGTTGCCAGGGGTGTCACCCCCGGATTTCCATTGCTGACCTGATACCCACATTCTCCCCCGAGAAAGTCTCACAGAAGCCCTCCCCCCAACACCTCTTGGAAATCTCTTCTAGAATCATGCCAAGCCCCAGTGCTCTGAGAACTCTCCAGAAGCTCAGGGTCTCACTGATGCTCACTCACTCATTCTTCTGCCCCATCCTCGGTGGATGCGACCATTTCAGGCCTTAGATTAGAAGCTCAGGCTTGGGGACAGCAAGAGAAAGGGCTCAGCTGTGTCTGCAATATTTTTTCAACACAAAGCACTTTGCCCTAGAACTTGGTAATTTTGACTCCTGGGATCGGGAGGAAGGTCTTTTCTTAAACAAAGAGGAAAACAAATGGATACTTAGAAAATCGCAGAAACGCTCCTGAAACCAAACCAAAGTCAGTGGAAGAAAAATGTCTCTCCCTGTGACTGCAGAAGCCGCAGAAGTGGGGGCAGAGAGGAATCAAAGGGAGATTACAAAAAAAAATAAAAGAGAGAATAACTTTACAAATTGCACCTAAATAAAACCACTGCATTGAACACTGGTGGGCTGGGGCTGTTGAGAGAGAGACTTTGTGCTCCAGATTAATGTCCTCTGCCCCCTGTCCCTCTAATGACCTATCTTGTCTGCTTGTGTGTACTTTCTTCAATATATTCCATTTCGTTTAGTTTCCTGTTTGTGCCTATCGATAACTCCTCTGCTTTTTAATGGGCTGTCTGGCCCCGGACAGCCTCGGACTCAAGATACATGGTTCGGAAAGACACAGCATTCTCGCCTTGGATACCTCGGTTCCTGGGACTGAAGTGCAAAACAGCCATGGCCCCATTTGACCTCTTTGAAGTCTGTTGCTGTGACAAACAGGGATTTGGCAACTTAAAACATCAAATGTGCTAGTTGGTTTTAACTATCAACTTGCCACAACCTAGAATCTCCTGAGAAAATAACGTCCATTGAGGTGTCATTTAGATCAGGTTGGCCTGTAGGCATACATGCAGGGATCGTCTTCATAGTTAATTGATGTAGGAAGATCTGCCCTATTGTGGGTGGCACCATGTCACAGGCTGGACCCTGAGTGAGGAGAGATAGCCCAGATGTGCAGCAGGCTAGCCCAGATAAACAGCAGACAAGCCAGCCAGGATGAGTAGCAGGCTAGCCCAGATGAGCAGCAAATACACCAGCCCTGATAGGCAGCAGGCAATCCCACATGAGCAGCAGGCACACTAGCTTAGATGAGCACCAGGCTAGCCCAGATGGACAGCAGGCAGGCTAGCTCAGATAAGGAGGCTAGCCCACATGAGCAGCAGTCAAGCCAGTCCAGCTGAGCACTAGACTAGCCCAGATGAGCAGCAGGCTAGCCCAGTTGATCAGCAGGCTAGCCCAGATAAGCAGCAGGCAAGCAGACAGCACAGGTGCATCCATCTATCTCTGCTCTTTACAGTGAACATGGCACGATCAGATGCCTCCAGCCCCCGGCTCTGTGACTTCCCCTCCATGGGGAACTGTTACTGGAAGTGTCAGCCAAATGAGTTGCTTTGGGTCAGGGTGCTTTACCACAGCCAAAGAAACGAAGCTAGCTAGACTTCAAGCCTTTCTTCCTGGAGCTGGGAAGTCCAAGACTAAGGCTCCTGCAGACCCTACGTCCCAGTGCCTTCACCGGAGGGACAACCATGCCCCAAATCATTACTTGTTTACTGTGTTCAGTTTCTCTAGAACAGGTGGGAGCAAGAAGGACCCCACAGGTGACCCGTTTGAGAGGGTTATTATGCAATACCCATTTGTAGCGCAGTTCCTGTTAGGTAAACAACAAGGTTGCCGGTGGTGGCTTGAATGAAACAGTCTCCTGGGGCTTATGTATGGTTGAACACTTAGTCACCAGTTAGTGGAACTGTTTGGGAAGGATCAGGAGGTGTGGCCCTGTTGGAGGAGGTGTATCACTGGGGATGGGCCATGAGGCTTCAAATCCTCATGCCGGCCCCAGCCCCATCCCTCTCCCTGCCTGATGCCTGCAGATGCAAAGCTTTTGGTTACGGCTCCAGCACCACACCTGTCTGCCTCCTGCCATGATGATCACAGACTGACCCTCTAAATCTGTAAACAAGCCTCCAGTGAAAGGTTTCTTCCATAAGAGTTGCCTCGGGCACGGTGTCTTCTTTGCAGCAATAGGATGGTGGTTAAGTCGTTGTGCCTTGAATGAAACCTTGGTGGCTTCCCAGAGAGACAACCCAGGCCTGTGCCTCTCCTGCGGTTTAGGCACATCCTGTAGACCGGAGCTGACTCTCTCCAGGTCCAGCTTCCACATCTCAGCCCCCGGGAACCTCCCCTTGATAGCAACATCTATGAGCCTCATGTCTCCGTCATCATCTTTAAGCCAAGGGAGACCCAGAAGGGGCCAAGGCAGAGCCTCAGACCTCTCTGCTCATCTCTTCTGTGGAGACTGGAAGCAGAGGGTGCCCACCTAGTAGAAAACCCACCTTTCCCTCCATTCCTCCCTGGGAATCTTTGCCTGCTTAAATCCTCCCCAAGAGGCCTCCTTAGACTGGAGGACACTTTCCTGTCACTGTGCATGCGTGAGTAACCGGGACAGGATCCAGTGTGAGTGGCGTGACCCAGGCTCAGATCAAGGCAGGTAGGGATGCAGAGAACCCAGAGATCACAGGTCCAGGCGTCCAGGGTGAACAGATGTCGCCTCCGTGGACTACGCACCTGCAGAATAAGGCATTGTGACGTGTAAAGAAAGCCACTTGCCACAAAGGCAAGCCTCAGTCCTCTGCCTTCAGCTGCTTTTCATAGAAGTCCACAGACTTAGAATGGTGCTCGCTCTTCCCGGAGGGGACACGGGGCCCTCCCGAAAGCTAGGGTTTACCATCCATTTCTGAAAGGAAGTAGCCTTTGTCCCCAGAGACGCGAGCCCTGTCTTCAGAATCCTATTCTGGTCAATGCCCCCCATTTCACAACGCACAGCGTGGAATGGCCATTTCAGACGTGGTTGGAAATTCTATCCTAACCCCGAACCAAGATTCACTTAGTGATATATCCTTAATGAGATTCTAGTTGGCACCTCAAACAGCAGTTTTAGAAATTAGAAATTCAAACACAAACCAACCCAGATGCTGAGGAATGATGGCAGGAAAATATGAAAAGGCTTGTTTTCCATAATTAAACCACTCTGTTTGTGTAAGAGCAGAAAAGTTTCTACGTATAGTCAAACACCGCAATTCATAGCAAACAAAAGTCTCGGATCTGAGCCAGGGTGTCTCAGACACAATCATCAATTAACTGATTGTGTACACCTTGCAAAGTTACATACTGTGTCATCAGGACCCATGGCCTAATGCAGTCACACACGGCCACAAACACCCGGGATTCGCCTGACCGATTGTGAACAGACGCTTGGTTGTCAGTTGTTGCATTTTTGTTTTTACTGTTGTCACGCTTTTCAGGACACCCCCATTCCATTCAGATCCCCACAGGGTGTTACGGTCTATGGTCTAAGATGAACTGTGGTTTTCACAGTCGGCTCTGTTGCTGCCCATCTCTACAGGCCAAAATCAGACATCCAGAGTCAAGGCTCTGGCAGGATGCCTTAAAGATCCCTCCTGCTTCTGGAAGCTTCTGTTAGCTATGGACTTTCCAGAGCTTATAGCTACACACCAGTCTCCTATGCCTGTGTTCTGTGGGTTTCTCTCCTCATAAGGACGTCAGCCTACTGTGTTAGGGTTCCTCCTACTGACCTCACTGGAACCCGACCATTCCTGTACAGAGCAGGTTTCCATGGAAGGCCATGTTTGCAGACATCTTTCTGGGGACACCAGGCAGCCACCAGGGCTGGGAGACCCTATCCTACTATTTTGGGTGAGGCTGCCACTTGGGGCACCTGGGTCACTGCCTCTGTGTCAGGAATGAGCCTTTGCAATGCCTTTTCCTCAGGGGGTGGGTGTTTCACATGCACACTCATTCCCGGCTGCCTGAATTCAGAGGGGAGAAAATTATTTGCACGCACACACCACCACACTCACAACACACACACATACACACACACCTCACACACCAAACACACCAAACACACACACAACACCTTACACACACACATACACCACACACCATACACACACTACACCACACACATACACACAGGCACACATACACAAATAAGCACACAGCACACCACACACACACACATATGCACATACACACACATACCCTACACACCACACACACACCATACACAACACACACAGACACACAAATACACACAGGCACACATAAACAAATAAGCACACACATGCACACACAAACACACACATACACACAGGCACACGTACACAAATAAGCACACAGCACACCACACACACACACATATGCACATACACACACATACCCTACACACCACACACCATACACACATACACTACACCACACACAGACACACAAATACACACAGGCACACATAAACAAATAAGCACACACAAACACACACATACACACAGGCACATGAACACACACACACACCACGCAGAAAGACAATGCAGCCACCAAATCTCGCACAGCATCAGTTCCTAGGGGGATCTAACAGGACTTGATTTCTGGGCTGCTGCTCCAGCTTTCCTGTCTTCGAATGCTTTCTGTTGGCTGCTCCCCAGGGACTGGGTCCTCGGTGGCTCCCTTACTCAAAGTCTTCAGATGTTGGATTTAATCTGGCTTTGGTATTCATGGAGAACAT